GAAGACATGTACAATCAAAATACTTTTACATGTTACCATAATTTACCCATAATATTGATTGGCCTGATAAATATTGGAACAACATCATAAACTCCAGAGAACTTTTACTGTAGTTGAAGTAAAGATTAAAAAATGGCCAAAAGGGTAATTTTTATTAACCCCAATTTAAGATGATTTTAGCCATTGCTTATCTCCTCATTTTGTGTTTTATTTCCTTTTACTAAAGGGAAGTTAATGAAATTCTTGTCTAAAGACTTGGTATATTAAGGAGAGGAAAACCAGAGAAAGATAAAAATAAAAAATATTGCAGGAGTATAATTAAATAATATTTTTTAATGTTTTGATCATTGTGTTTTATGGTTAACTTATCCAAGTTTTAGGAAACAGAGGAGAGATCTCTGAACCCAAATGAAACGGGCTTCGTGGGTGATTGGTTTTGGGAACAACAAGACTGGGGGCTAAGGCCTGAGGAGCTGCAACCCATTTTCATCATACTTTTTAGGATAAAATACAGAAAAGTCCTTGTGATTAAGCTAAAATACAGAAAAGTCCCTCATGATTTTAAATCATACATTCCGGGTCCTTATAGTTTCAACTAATATGAAATAGTGACAGAAACCGTCAAAAGTTACGAGAGAGCTGATGAAATGACACAATTACCTTAATACATACATACATACATACATACATATATATATATATATATATATATATATAAGCAAAACATTCTTCTAACAACTACACTGGTTAATCAAACCTACCGAAAAACCCATTATGATTAAGTCAACTTGCGAAAAAATTCTTATGGTTACCAATTGTCACCATCACTCTTCACTTTTTGCTATCATCCTCCCTTCCATCACTACCCTACTCCCTTTCCTTCGTGCTCTCTCTTCTTCAGTGGCGGAGCCAAGACCTTAGGGTTAGGATAGGTCAATTTTCGACATTATATCAAATATAATCATTGTAAATTTACAATAAAAAAAAGTGCTTATGTTAAAAATATTTTTACTGTTATGTCAATTAGACTTTGACATCCAATGCTATAATATAGTGTAGTTTAGCAACGCCAAAAGAGTTTATTTTTGGATTTATATCAATAACTAACCTTTTGATCTAACACTTTTGTAAAACTTAAGAATTAAGAATTCCTAATTTGTTAAGGGAAGCCAATGTAAATAAGAAAGACATGTTAAATATTTTAGAGAGGACAATATAGATAAGAAAGTGAATTTCAAAAATATTGAGGGCAAAGTTGAGAAGAAAAATGTTTTAAATATTTTAGGATGGACAAATAAAGGTGTAACTATCACTATTTTATTAGTTCAAACCACAAGGTATCAAAATATATGTATTGAAACAATAGGGAAGTTTTCTGTAGGTTTGCTTAACTATAGGGATGTTTTTGCATTTTATTCTAAAAGGGTAGAATAGGTATATCAGATGAAAATTAGTTTTTTTTTTCCAATACAAATAGTCACAAAAAGGCATGTGTATCTCAAACCCATTAATTCAGATAATTTTCATCGCCTTTTCAAATTAGTTCAAACCACGAGATACAAGAGTGTATATTTTAAAACTATAAGAGACTTTTCTTTAGGTTTGCTTAACCGCCGGAAGTTTTTTTTTGTAATTTACCCTACTTTTTCACCACTAAATGTCCTTGGTGACAGCCCATTCTATTGAGCTCTACTTCATGAAATAACTATTGGAAACAACAGAATTTTTCTTTTGCACGTTGTTCAAGGAAATGTTATTTGCACTCATATTTTCGTTAATCACACTCTCACTATTATTTTAATCATATAATTTTTATGTATTAAACTATATGATTAAACAAATGGTGGGAGAACGAAGTGCAAATAATATTTTCCCGTTGTTTATTCTGTTAAACCCTTTGTTTATTGTGCTTCAAAAAACGAGTCCAACTTTTGGTAATAATCTCCGATCCAATCTTCACCTTTTGAAATGTAAGCCTGATATGACTGACAAATATATGTAATTTTTGGACTGGCCTGGATGGGAAAAGAGTAGAAATGGTCCCATAAAATCGCTTTGAAGCAGTATACATTGTCTTTAACGATTGATAATTCGTTTTTTTTCTTTACATTTTTTTTGGCAAGGGATGGATGAGATTTAAGAAGTGGGACTGGGGAGGTTGAAGTGGAATTTATAATTCATCAAAATCAACTTTTATAACTTTTATTACATAAATGTAAAAAATTAGATACTGTTAACTTCATAAATCAACTGGGTAAAAAAAATCCAAATTTTAGAATAGCGTTCATTCATACCACATATTGGATAAAAGCTTGAAATTGTTGTCACGTCCCAGCGCCTTCTCAATCCGAGAGTAGTTGGTTTGTTATCCTGACCTTCTAGTATCTCGATCTCTTTAGATTTTTTATATATTTTTTTAAATTTTCATTCTGATTTCTTTTTTTTTCTTAAAATATTCCATTCATTTTCTACCTTCAATATAACTTTTACTGCATATATTTTAGAGTAAATCTTATATATATACTGACAGTGTATATACTATTACGACTAGATGCACCATACATTTGCAAAATTTGGGTTTCGAATTTAAATTTGGATTATGTGTCATGTACCAAATTGTGAAAGTATATACATCGTTAATGTATAGAAAAATTAATTCTATTTTTCATTTGTTACATACAAGCATCGGGTCCATCTTATATCCAGGAACTCCAGTGTGGGAAGTATCAACTTTCAAAAGTTCACCTCTTAAGGAAACAAGCATCCGAATCCCACAAGAAGAAGGAGAATATCTCTTGAACTGTTTCCTATTGCAGCAAGAAAACCCCTTTTGAGAAGGTTATCATTCTGGAAACTTGATTCTGTACATGATTAGGAGAAGCTCTCCTACAAAAAGAGCCCTGATCATAGTTACTTCATTCTTCTCATACCAACACTAATCCTTCTCTTCTTCCCATTCGTTTAGCAGATTTCCATCATTAATATTTATTAATTCTTGATCCGTAACACCACCAATTGCAATAGCAAGATGGAGAATAAGATGAAAAAGACGATTAAGCTGTTGGAAAGATGATAGAAGTTGACTGACCGGGTTTTGCTATACATACAAGTTAAAAAATTCGAAATACACCCGTTTCATTGTAAGTATACAGGTCAACTAATAGTTTAGGATATATATCGGGTCGATCACCGAGAAAGATTGAACAATTACCGGTGTTACTAAAGCTTCTCTATTATTTAGACTATTAATGAATATTAAGAAATTAAACCTACTGAACTTATGCAAAATAACAAATGAAAGCTCTTTAGGTTATGGTATCCCTAACTACTTATGCAAGTGCTATATTTGAATCATTGAATACTACTATCTAGGCTAGTTATGGTGTAATTTCTTTATGCATATGAAACCTATTTTCGTAATGAATCAACTATATTTATAACTAATCCATTCTCATGGTTATGAAATTAGTTACAAGTTCATTTCTTCAATGAAATTACATGAAATTAATCACTAAAACCACATAGGTGCACCTCTACTCTCGTGAGTGTACTCCCTATGTTTAGCACTTCTTAAACCAGTGTTAAATCTCAATTTTCATTGCAGAAACAACACCTTAGATAATCACAATTAATGGTATCAGATTAATCATGATTTTAAAGAGTTAAAGTGCTAAATAACTTGCTCAAATCATAGCAGTCAAATAGCCAAATAATAAATACTAACAATCATAGAAAGTTCAACCAAACCCAAGGTATAAACTTTAGAAACACATAATAACATATAAATCCATAACCTGTATATTAACTAAATTTCGAATCAAGTACAAAAAATAAAGAGTTGGAAAGGAAAAGTAACCCTTGTCACATGAGTTCTTTCCTTGTCTTCTTTATCTCCTTCTTCATCTGTGCCTAGCTAATAAACAAGAAGGATAAACTACTACTCTACACTAACTAATCTAACACTCAGAAGATGTAAGAACTACATTTCTGCACTTCCAAGCTTCTCCCGTATGCCACTCTTTCAATCTTGCAAGTTTTTGGCTATTTAAAGATGAAAGAAGTTAAGAAAATGAGGCCTACACCACCCTTTTACAACTACAAAGTAGTTCTCACATGTCTGGCATTGCATATGATTTGTTGGAGGTGAAAATAAGTTTTCCACGTAAAGAGCAGCCTTCTCTGACCACAATCCGACCAGAAATCCGGCCAAGTTCCTGCCAAATTGCTACAGTGACATTTTGGTGCACTTTTGTTCAATTTCTAGCTCTGCTCCGATTTTGCGTCAATTTCAACTGAACTTTTCTTGATGATAAAAACTAATTTAGGTCTTGACCAAAACATAAAACTTGTAGCCCATTGAGTTAACTTTCCAATGCATCACCTCATTATGCATCACCTCATTTGGATCTGTGTAGGCTGAGAAATGACCGAAATACCCTTGACTACTCACTGCCATGTTTCAGTTTCGACCAAAAGAAATTAGCTACTTGTAATTCGGCTTTTTGACCTGGAAAACCTTCAAACTAGATTCAGATGTCTTTACCAAAGTTGTAGATCTATCTCTTATCTTCAAATTGGTTTAAGAATCATCTCAATCCGATCATTGTAACTCAAGTTATAGCCAAAATACAAAATTGTATCAAAACTGTTAAAATGCACAAAATCCAAGTAAAAAGTGATAAAAACCTCATTTAATTACTGAAAAGCATTTTTCACCAATTATAGCAAAAATGATTCATTTTCTTCTAGTAATATAACCAAAGTAACTAAAAATAATATAAAATATCATACAATAAAAATGTAAATTAGTCACTTATCATTGACATAGTCTACGTCCTTGAGGATGTCCCGGCTGATCATCTGGTGAATCAAGAACAAGAAACAGAAACTACTTCGAGTAGCCGAGCAATAATGCCTCCTCGACGTGAGCTAGAGCTTCCTCATGGAGCACATTTGATAACTGAGAAAAGATTGGAAGCTTCCGATGTTACTTCTACTCAATGCAGGTTTTTCCTTCCAATTTCGAGGAAATCAATGAAGTTTTGACTCAATCAGAGAGAGTTATGCTACTGGAGAAGTTTGAGACTGTTAAGGTAAAGGTAGTGGATAGTATACAACGCTATTATGACATGGATTTCAAGAAGTGGCCAAGTGTGAATGATAGGCTGGTTTTGAACCATGGGTGGATGCAGCTTGTCAAAGACAATCATCTTCAGAAAGGTGATGTGGTGGAATTATGGAGCTATAGACAAGATTCTCACTTGTGTTTTGCTGTAAAAATCTACGAGCGATCAAAGAGGAATATCTCCAGCAGTGATTAAGCTTAACTTAACAGGAGAATATTAACTTTAACCGAAGACAGGAAAAGGACCTGAAATAATTATGTAAACTCTTTACTCCCTAGAAAGTAGAAAACTGTACTTTTATAAATTTTCTTTTGCCCTTTTTATTTTAGTTGATTTTATATGGTTGGATTCTTTTTTTTCTGTAATATTAATGTTCATGATAAGATAGAAAATTATTTTGGGATTTATGAACGTAAAAAGAAAACGAGAAGGAAACTGATTAATTAATTAATTAAAATTATGTATTTAATGTGGCATGGCTAACTATCAACTAATGACCGAAGAGGTCTAGACATAGTGATTAAAATTGAGATTTCACGGGTTAAACGTCCTAAGCTCAAATCTCTTCTCTCCTCCCCCTTATCTCCTGCAATTCGCATGGGTTCATCACCATTATCAGGATCAAACAAATAGTCATACCAGTTGGGCCAATATCAAGGCAGATGCTCAAGTCAGAATTGATATTATTGCCACAATTGATGTCTATTCTGCTTTGAGAAATAGGTGATAACAGAGTGCAAGGCAATCCACAGAAAAAATATCACATACGGGCTTCTTCTCTTTTTTTTTTCAATCAAGAAACATAAAATCCCAAAAATACCGCCTTACCCATCCCCATCCCCAACCCCCTCTCCCCTACCCCCAAAAAAAAATGAAAGAAAGATGTGATTAGCACTGATGTGTATCCAGAATATTTTTAATTTTTTGGTCAAAGATAATTTGGGTGGTTTCGGTCCCAATAATCACTATGGATCAGAACATACTTTCAGATCATAGATCACTTATAGGACTTCTTACAAATCCTTCATTGATACAATTTTTACATTGACAGCAGGATTTCAATGATTTTAATTTTGTGACAAATCAGAACATGGATTCGTTTGAACTAGAAAAGAATGGGTTGTGCAATAAATAGGATTGGGCTCTGAGGTTTGTCATCTCCCGCCGATTCCTCCAAGGGTTACCCCTATCAAGGCTGCACCAAAACCTGTCAAGAACAGGCATCACGTTTCATTGGGAAGACGTGGCCTGGAAGCCTAATAGCAGAAGATTGTTATGAAGTAAACAATGGACTTTTAAATAACAGATCTTTTTCAAACATTAAAACTTCGCTTAAGACATGAGTAGATGAACAATAATTTAACACTATAGATTCACATGTGCATACAGCTGTACACTAAAACAGACACACACGCACACACTAAATTTTTAGGACATTGAAATATTTAAGGGTGCAGTGGAATCAATGCATAAGATAAGATAAACACATCAAGGCATCAATTTAAAGTGTCTGATATTCAAGGCTATTAAATGAAAGATAAACCATTTAATTACCAATGAGAGAATGTACAAAAAGAAATGCAGAGCAGCCTCTTCGATTTCACCTCTATAAATTACCCCAGGAACAAAAAGTTCTTTTTCCACAGACATTTTCTTTTTTCTCATAAGCACAGATCCACAAACACACCAAAATGCCTCTTCATTATTATAACCCTCTAGTCCTCGCAATGCTAGCACTAGCACTGGTGGCCAGCATTAACGCAAAAGATAGAATATTCGGAAATAGAGTTTTCGATGGTCCTTGGGAACCTCTAGAGCCAAACAACCCCCATCGGATTGAACTTGGAAAATTGGCAGTCGATTTGTATAACAAACAGGCCAAGACCAAGTTAGTATTTGAAACAGTGGGCAAAGTAGAGATATGATACTCTCTCACAATGGAACACTTTTATAGGATCCATCTTACAGCGAAGAATGGTAATAAGTTTGAGCAGTACAGCGCATGTATAGATGAAAATGCTTACGAAGGTCACACAGACCTTGTATCCTTCGGAATCATTCCAGCTCCCTATTTGGCTCCGCTTCCTCTCCATATATACCATGGACATGGGTTAGGGAAGTGAAGGAAAAGTGTGAAAGGATAAATAAGTACGTTGCAGAAAACTTGATCTTTGTCTTCTTTGGTTTTACGAGGAAAAGTGATAGGTGAAGGAGAAAAGGGGTTGAAGGAAAAAGTGTTAACCTTTGTTAGATAGTTGACTCGTGAAAGAGTAATAAGAATGAAAAATTAGCTACAACTATTCCTAACTCTCTATTGGCTTGTTTCTGTGTTTTTAATTGTTTTTATTTGCAATGAGTACGTACTTTAAACATTCTGAATGGAAACTAATGTAAATTAATCACTTAAAATTGAAATCTTAGAAATCTAGAATAGAAAAGGAATATTTATACATACGACATGGTAACTAGTCTAAATAACTTTGTGGAAAACTAATATAAACAAAGAAAAAAGCAATACTTGTAGGGAACACAAATTTAGGTTAATTACGAAAATGAATCATCAAAAAGTATATGATTCTCACTTTCTTAGCCTCATTGTCCAACTACAGTATTATGTCCATTAATTTTTTTAAAAAGTTATTCTTAGTATGATATGAACAATTCAAGAAATTCCTATGGACCAAAGATCATCATTTTAGATGCATAAAATGCACAAAAATGACATATTTTCCCTCAATGAAAGCAATGATTTGTGAATTATCATGTGACTTCACATGTAAAAGAATGACATGGATACTATTGCATTCATTTTATAAATGCAAACATTGATTTGTGAATAAAAAGGCATTCAAGTCTAGATTTTTTTCCAAATCCACAGATTGTTGAATTAATAGATACCAGACTTCTTTTTTCCTTGCACAATGGGCACATCACCTGGTGAAATCAATTTTAGTCTGCAATTCTCAGTCGATTGTATTACAGTGCAACATATTGAAAAGTTTTGGGGGCAAACTGATCCTCTTGAAAAATAAGGGGGGCATAGTAAGAATTGCATAATCTTTGAGGGGTTTGTCATTATTAAACTGCCAAATTTAGAACAAAAAGTCTTAATTTCTGGTTTAAGGTATTAAAGCTTAGCATATTAAATATTTAAATAGCTAACAATTTCTAGTAATGGGAATTCAGAACTAACATGCGTTAGAAAGAAGGATAACCTAAAATTTGAAGGATTAAGCTTTTATGTATTGTTAGTCTAGGGAATTTTTTTGCACTAGTATTGTAGATGCATGTTACACGTGAAAAAAATAAATTTTAAATTGAAATTGAGATTATATGACGTGCATGTAAACCTATTTATGTAACAAAATTCTTGCACGATCACTGATAGTGCATGAAACATGAATCCTAATAGGCATAGCATGTTTAAAGACAATGCCCAAGAAACCATGAAGTCTTACTAAAACAACGATTATTTGTCAACTCCCAATTTGGATAGTTATTTTAAAAGTGATAAGGATGCATTAACAACCTAAAGTCAGGATTATTTGTGTTGGCACTGGGCTGGATTTGTGATCCTCTTTGCGGAAATGATTTTCTTGGAATCGAGTGATGAGTCATGGCAAATTCATACAAATCATTACCTTGACAAAGATGACAGGAAATGTGTTGTATTTCGAATCTGGTTTCCTTTGCTTCAGCTTTCATTTTATTAGAGTATCAGGCCAAAAATTTGAAAATGAAAAAATCAATAATTTAATAGAAAACAATATCTAGCACGAACGATGAACAACGCACAAGAATTAACGTGATTCGACTTAATCACCAAGCCTACGTTCACAGAGGAAAAAACTTGTTCTTACTATGAGAAAAAAACACCACAAGGTTACAATTTAATTCCCAAGTCTCAACTCTTGTAAAACCCTCCCACCCACTAAGAACTCTCTCAATCCTTTCTTATGTGTCTTTGTAGTATATCAATCCACCTATTTATAGAGAATATTACTTGGCCAAAAAATCAAATAACAATTGGAACCCAATACTAATTCCTAGACTTATACAGAATAGGTAATAACATCTAAATTCTAAACCAAATAGAAGTTTCGTTGACTACTATTTCAAATAACTAAATCCAATTAGCAAACTAGTTACTTCCCACATCAAATAGGGATCTTGACTAAAAGAAATTAAACCAATTTCCTAATAAATCTCCATCTTTGGCGAATATTTCTTTTAACAAACACAGTAAACCATTCAAAAAACTCCATTTGCCTTTTTTCACCAAATACCTTGGTGCCTAACTACACACCCGAATCAAGACGGTCTTGTATTCAATTAATTCAATCGACAGATGAACATGTGTAGTTAACCGAGTCCAACATCTAGTTGACTCACGAGAGGGGCCTTAATTCACCCTCTCCCATAGCAGGATTTTTTTCTCACCACCATTTGTAATTTGAGAGCATTTCCGGATCCCCTTCCGCTCCCAATCCATTGAGGTATTCAAATGGTACAAATTACCATACTTCTTTCCCATCAATAAGATCGTCTCACCATGTGTGATTTTCAAGACTTTATCTGCAGCAAAAAAATAGTAATCCTCGGAGTCTAATTGGCTCAAAGAAATTAGATTCCTTCGTGACTTTGGGACATAAGTCACACCACTTAAAGAACGAATCTCTCCATTCAACATTTTGATTTTCACCACTCCAACACCTTTGACTTGACAAATAGATCCATCACCCAAAGAATACAAAACCTGCCTTCTTTCTTTGGAGAGTATCAAAATAGTCTAACTTAGAGAAAACATGTGAAACACATCCAGAATCTCAAATCCAACCATCACAAGAAGAAGTATTATTACCTTTGGAGATTGTGAAAATATCTCCACCCGATACATATCCAGCAACACCATCATAGTCATTCTCATCATTTTTCTTTTGATGAGGGCAAATATCTTTTGATATGGCCAAACTCATGACAACTAAAGCACTGGACTCCACCCTTTCTCTTGACTTTTGAACCATCTGCCTTAGATTCACTGCCAAGTTGTTTTCCTCTTTTATTCTCATCTCGAGCAATGAACGCAGCTTCTTGTGTCACATCCTGGTTTGCCTTCCTTTATTTTTCATGGTCCAACAAAGAAGACTGCACATTCTCGAACTCTAAAGTGTCCTTTCCATACAACAGGGTCGTCA